TGAGAGAGAATTTTTTTAAATAATCCCAGCTAAAGTAACTGGCCAAGAGTTGAATGGAGCAATAGATAGAGGGGTTTCAATAGCAAAAATGCGTGCGTATGATAAAGTTACTTCTGAGGCATTAACTAGCTGTAGACTGTAAGACAGAGAAAGTCAGCCTGTGTGTGACATCTGCCAGTCATCCAGACCCTCCTTGTCAATTGCTTGGCTGATTGTAATCGTCACCAATGTGTTTGCCACACGTACACTACAGCGATTTTCTAACACAACTACGTTGTGTAATTCCTCTGTGTAAATACAAGCAGTGGGTCCTCATCAGCATCAAGAATGAGACCGAAGCCTTCTGGTCAACCAGGATCTGGCCTCTGCTTTCTTCCCCCTCTCCCCACCAGCCTGGCCCAGCGGGGCGCCCGCGTGCTCAGCCCCCAGCCCAGCCCCCCGGCCCAGCATGCTGCTTCGTGCTCTGCGCGTGCTGTCTGCCACCTGCAGCGTGGCCTCCATCCTCCACTCCATCATCACCGCCCAGCAGATTTCTCGTCCTCATGCTTCTCAGCCGACTGGTACCTTAGATGAAAGTGATGTCCAAATGTTCACTGAGGCATTTTAAATTTTATGTTAAATGCTCTTAAAATCAAAGACATTTACTTACAATGGTAATATTTTTATGTCTTCTCCCATTTTAAATTCACTTACCAGAAATTTATTGAATGCTTACTCTGTCCAAGGCACTGTGCTTGGTTTTGTCTGAATCATCCTGAATTTGACAAATGTTCCCTGAGGACTGTACCTAAATGGATGTTTGTAAGAAAATAAAGCTGAAATAAAACCTATTTACCCCTTTTTGTTAGAACAACAGGACAGAATTATCGCAGTTGAGAAAGAATTTGTTAGCCTACACAGTAGCTATGAGCTTTTAGATGAGTTGTCTTTATGAATGTGTTCAGAACTAATTCTGACAGTAGAAAAATTTATCCTATAAATTATAGACAGGTGGCAATTCATGGTTTTTGCAAAATGGGGTAGTTTCTGTAGATTATGATGACCAAAAAAGTTTTAGCAGTATTTACATTCCCTGGTTTTCTTTGACCATAATGTGGTCCAGTTGGAAGAACTTTCTAGTAATATATTTTAACAATGACTAGTTGACTCATTAAGCAGGTCTGATATAAGACCCACAGAAAATCATAGTAAATTTGAATAATGTGTTATGTTGTGTGAGAGATACCTGTGATTTCTTTAGTATAGATATTAAATGCATGTCCTATCACTTTGTATTTATTTTTCTATGGTAACTGCTATGTTTGGAGGGTTATTATTATAATTAATAGGGGCAGTCTAGAAATTGCATTTAAAATAGGTATATTTAATCTCTTCTTAAATTTTGTTTTGTAATTATTGAGCAAAAAATATGAATGAAATCACAATCCTTTACGCTAAGAAATTCCTTGGATTATAATATCATAAAGGGATATTCATTCATTCAACAAACATTTACTGGGTGCCTGGTATAAGCTCATGGAAACATGGTGGGAACCTGGCGTTCATGTGTCCTTCCAGGAGCTTCTATTCTCGTGGACGAGACAGACAGTGCACCAGGACACACACACACACACCCCGCCCCCCAGAGAGGGAAGACGGTGGCTCGGTAAGAGTCTGGTCCCTGTTGTAGACTGGCGGGTGGTATTCCCTCACCAGGCGGTTCTCTGACACCAGGCGGTGAGCAGCAGGGGAGGCCCCGCGGTGGGCTGACAGGCTCAGACCCTGCGGCCGTTGCAGGCCTGGCGAGGAGCTCTGATCTTCTACGTGCCAAGTCGCTGCAGGGTTTTATGCAGGGAAGTGGCGTGCTTTATGCTTTCCTAAGAAGGCTGGGTTGCTCTGTGAAGAAGGGAGTACTGAGGCAGGCGGGAGAGCTCAGTCATCCGGCCATCCTGACGGGCTAGGTGAGAGGTGGCTGTGGTTTGGCTTAGGGACGGAGGGAAAGGAAGAAGTCCAGGAAGCCCAGCATTGCCAGTGGGGCTGGGGTGGGCAGGAAGTGGAAATTAATATGTCTGAGTGCAGAATAAAAATGAGATGATATGGAGATAGTCACTTAGAGCCTCCAAATACCATTTTGTCCTATATCCTGAGTTTAAAGTTATTGCACATAGTCTTTATTATAGTGGAGCTGAGCTTTTCGAAGCAAATGCAATTCAGACACTTAAAGTATGCTGCCTCTTATATTTGGCTGCAATGAATGAAAAGAAATTAGCTTAGAAGATGGCATTTTAAACTAAACAAATACTTTCAGCTAAAAGCATAAGGAGAAGCCTGACTTAAATTAGTTTATTTTGCTAATAGTTACTTCTTTTTTTACAGAGAGATCAAGTTCCCCATAACTTATACAAAATCAGAAAATAGACCCGCATTGAAAAAAATCATATTTAGTAATTTTGTATTTCTGATCTTCGGAGACGTCCTTAGTCATGACAGGCAAATATTAGAAGGCGCTACCGTCCCAGATGCTACACGGTTCAAAGGCGCTGGGCATGCTCTGACCTTCCCCCTTGGCCAGCTGACTCACCTCTCTGTTTATCTGATTTACAGAGTCATTCCGGGAGACTGTGAGGCCCACACGGCCAGCTTAGCCACTCGCCCTCCTCTCCTCTAGAAGGGGGAGGGGCAGAGGAGGAATCACAGAAGCCACCTCGAGAGAGTGTCCGTGGCTGAGCTACAGGCCCCTAGGGGAGAGGAGGGGAGAGTTGATCAGGTGCAGCTCCAGACTCCCCGCTCCACTCATTCGCCATCACCCCTGGCTCATCTTTTCCACATTAGGCTTTAGAATGAGGTTTTATTTGAATGTAAGGGTACAACCGTTTGTTTGTTTGTTTAAAGGTTTCTATCTACTCTTCCAGGAAGTAGCGCACTAGCCCACTGAGGTGGTCCCAGCCAATGTGATTCTGTCATTTTTAAGTCACCAATATGATCTGAGCTCCACCCACCAGCGGGGGAAGCTCGCATCCACACTAACAGCCCAAAATTCCATGTTCTGGCTTCCACCCCCTGCTCCCCCCTCAAAGATTTGCAAGACCCTCTCAGAGGCCATCTCTTTGTGGCACTTAGGTCCTGTAGGCCCCAGCAGTTTGTGGGTTTTACGCTGGGTCCGTTCCTGGTTCCTGCTGATTTTAATCTCTGCCGGCCTTATCCTGGTCCAGATTTGAGGACTGCTCACTCTCTCTGGTTTTGCGAAAAATGTCTTACTCTCCTTGTACCCATCTTGCAGAGAATGGCACCTCAGCAGAGCTGAGTGGAACCCCAAGGGATGTCTCCTGAGAGGGGGACCTTGAGCTGAGCGGGGTCTGCGAGGGCATGAGGCTTTTGACACTGGGGTCCTGCTTCTTCATCTTGTTCTCCTGTTAGACTTATCCCCTTACCTGCTGGTTTTCATTCCCAAGCTCTGTTGCCTGGTTTCATCCATCCAGCTCTTTCCCATTCAGTCCATCAAAGCAGGTTCAAGTTCTCTCTCAAAGGGCCTCCGGACTCCCATCAAACCAGGGCTTGCGCTGGGTGCAGCTTTAAGTGCCTGGCAGGAGGAGTCAGGTCCGTCCCAGCGCGCCTAGGCACCTTCCGGGAGGGTGCTGCTTGACGTCTCGGTTCTGCTGGCCACGGTAGCATATTTATTACAGGAGGGAATCGTGCTTAGGAATCAAGAGATGAGAGGTGATGTGAGTCCACGTGGGAATGAAAAAGCTCACTGGTGTTCTACCTCGCGGATAGCTGCCACCCTCTTTCTGTAGGGCCTTTTTTAGAGTGAAACTTTACAGAACCCCAGCGTATGTAACAGGGGGCACCTGGTGTCAGGAGCAGACTTTCCTGCTTTCCCAGACTCTCCCTCTGTTGGGGGCTAGGAATTCTTGGAGCAGAACTTGAACTTGGAAATGACCACCGTGTGAGGTGCAGATGGCAGGAATGGAAGGCGCATTTGCGTTGTGTGTTGCCACCCCCACCCCTCGCAGAGCCACGCCCAGTCAGCCCCCTGGCCCCGGGGCCTTCAGCCTCCCCAGCCTTCACCTCTCGCCCCCACCCTTCCCCCCTCCCCCCCCCACCCTACCGCCCTTTTCCATGCAAATGTTGCAGTAGGCCGCAGCCCCTCCTGGATGTGCTCTGCCCCCCTGCTCCTCCAGCCCATTCTCTATGTGGCCAACAGTCACCTTTCTGAGTTCACATCTGACTTTGTCATTCCTTAAGTTCTCTCCGTGGCTCCCCGTCCCTCATGGGGTTACGTCCCTGAGCACGCAGCTCTTTCCTCCCACTGTGCCTGCACACCGGTGGGCCTCCTCCTCCCCAAACACCTGCTGGTAGGCCCTCCCATCCCCTTCATCACCCCGCCTCCCAGCTCCCAACCAGCGACACGGACACACGTCTCCTTTGGCACTGGATTCAGGCTACACATCCTCGGGAAAACCTCCTCTCACCTCCTGCTTCCCGGCCCCACCGCACCCCCGGCTCCGGCTCTGCTCCAGGCATTCAGCCCTCACTGGTGCCCCATGAGCTTCGGTCTACCTGTCTGTCTCCTCCACTTGAATAGAAATTCTTGGAGGGCAGAGATGTTTGGGGAAGGGGCCTCAGTCACGGTCACCCAGCCCCCAGCAGAACCTGACCCTGAAAAACACTCACCATTTGAATGAATGAATCCTCAAGTGACCCCAAATGTAGATGGCCGGGAATAAATAAATAAGCTCCAAGGTAACAGAAAACTTTCCTTAAAGTCCTGCTGTTGTGGGCCTTCAGTAATACGTCTGTTTAAATGGGCGCTCAGTTTCAAGGCTGCTTTGTTTGTGGAGGCATCTCTCCACCCGAGGGCACGGGCTGCGCTTGTGTGAACATCCTCCGTGCTGGGAGGTGACTTAACACGGGGACCAGGTGAGAGTTCCGGAAAGGGAGGGCCGTGTGGGAGAGGTGTGTGTATGACAGATGGCTGGGTCTTTTAATGAACTGCTCACTTGAAAATTGTCTTTCTGCAGGTGATGTATCACCAATCAGTATGTCTCCCATCAGTCAATCTCAGTTTATTCCACTCGGGGAAATCCTTTGCTTGGCCATCTCAGCAATGAACTCGGCACGAAAACCTGTCACCCAAGAAGCACTGATGGAGCACCTGACCACGTGCTTCCCAGGTAACGGGAACCGCTGGGTGCTGTGGCGGCCGGGACCGCACACGGGCGGTCCCTCTCGGGTTTCCATCGGACAGAACAAAACGGCCGCTGCCAAAATGGACCAGAAACTTCCCTTAGTTTTGTAATTAAAAATGAAGGTACCTGTGTTACTACCTTCAAAAATAATTTGCCTTCTAAAGCTCTAAGACTTTTTAAATTGGCACTGAGAAAAAGAAATTAAATTGGAATCCATGAGGAATTCTGGCAAAACACTACTGAGATTCCATTCTGCCTCTGCAACAAAGCCTTCTTTAAATACACAAACATTGTGACTCGCGGGAGCGAGTCAGAAACAACTGAACACTTGAGTCCTATGGGGTTAAGCTACAGAAAGAGTGATGTTAAAAATAAACATTTCTTGCATGCCTATGTCATGGCCTTATGAGTTTTAAGAAGATGCTATTTGGGACCTGGCCAGTGTGGCTCCGTTGGCCAGAGCATCATTCTGTAGGTAAGGAGTTCAGTTCCTGGTCAGGGCGCACACCCAGGCTGTGGGTTTGATCCCCTGTCAGGGCATGTATGGAAGGCAACCTATAGATGTTCCTCTCTCACATTGACCCCCCTCTGTCTTTCCCTCTCTCCCCCGCTCCCTTCCTTCCTCTCTAAGTAGTAAAAAAAATGTCCTCAGGTGAGGATTAAAAAAATTTTTCAAAAAGATTATGATAGTTGGTAAATTAGTTAAGCTCTCACTGTAAAAACAATAAAAATATGATAAAGATTATATAGAAAACAATAAAATGTTTTCTCTTAACTATTATTAAAAGGAAGACAATAGCCCAGCTGGTGTGTGGATGGCATGTGAAGCCTCCAGAGCTGAACAATGTTAGGAATGGGGATCGGCCAAAGCACGCATCCCCTCTCAGGAGAGGCAGCCCCTGCTCAGCTGCGGTCTGTTAGTCCCTTTCTCCAAAAAAACAGTAGGACCCTGCCAGAGTTGCACAATCTACTGTTTTTGCAAGAGAATCTGGAATTTTAGTTTTGTGGGATATGCGTGTACATTTTAACGTGCGTATGCCAACGACATGCAAGTCACATAAAACACATTATTGGGCCACCCGTTTGCCAGCTTGGTTTGGAAGCAGACTCTACCTGGATTGAAATAGAGTTTATGTTAAACACCGGTGCTTCACATATTTTTCATTCAACGGAGAAGAGAACTTAGTAAATATAAGCTGTTGGCTCTATCAGTTAGTGTTTGCTCCCAAAAATCCGGGTAACAAGCAATTGTGTAACATCAGTGGCATAGACCGGTACACATTTATTTAGGTCCAGTGTCATGGGTTCTCCAGGAGTCTGCTGATTCTGACGGGTCCTAGCCCTGCATGTGGCTCTGCTTCCCCTGTACCCCATCCTCTCTGGAAAAGGGGGCAAGCAGAATCCTGCTCTGTGCGTGGGGACCGCAGAGGTGCGAGAGAAGCAGCTCAGCTGCACGGGGGCTCCTCAGCCTTGGGTTGCGCCGCGCCCACTGGCATTTCATTGGCCGAACTCAAAGCCACGGTGTTGGGAGATGTGTCCCACCCTGGGGAGAGGGCAGAAAGCTCCTAAACTAAGGAGTAATGTATGATTTTGAGTCTTCCCACTTTCCCTGGTGATTTTTCCTTCTCTTTCCATTTCCCAATGAATGTGTTTGAAATTCTGTGTACTGTTTAAAATCTCTAACAGGAGCCCACCCTTGCACCCTATAAATGATCTAAAGTTTTATAACATTTTATGCTCTCTGAATGTTCTTCACTAATTGTTTGTCTCTCCTTGTTAACTTCCAGGCAAACCCTTTTCCTTTCAGTAGTAAGGTAAGGGAGGGCTCAGCTTGGGTGGAGAGTTTATCTTTGTTCTTTAAGTTCTCAAAATTCGAATTTGTGATGAACTTTGGGAGCAGAATCTGAAAATGATGCAACACGCAAATGTTACACATATCCATCACAGCTGTTTCTGTTTCAGGTGACCCCTAACGATTCCTAATGGAACCCTGGATTTTGTATACAATTGAAAAATCAGTCATTATATGAGGGCTTATTGACAAAATAATTATCATCAATATCAGGGACTTTCATGTAAAGCTTTTGCAAATGCACAGGTAGAAGTACGGAAAACGGGTTGAACAGGAAATGTTTCTATTTTGCTTTTTCCAAATTAAACACCATTTGATTGGTGTACTTGCAAGTACAAGACATAAATACTTTAGATGTAAAGTTTCTGTGGAAACTCTTAGTTCTTCATTTGGGAATAATCAGAGAGCTTATTCTTAATGGTGAGGAATGATTACAGCATAGTCATGATTCTATATAGTTTTGTAAGGGTTCTAAGATCATCACTTGGAAGGCCTACAAGCAACAAATTCTAGAATACAGTTAAATTGTTGTTGTATAGTAATAGCTATTTTCATGAATTAAGCCCTTTCCTTTAATCTAACAGTACAGAAGACTCAATTGTGAAGTGTTATAAATGAGCCTTACCTTTGTTTTTGAGAAGCTTTTGTTTTAATTTTGATTAAACGTATGCAACTATGTAAGATATGTTGGGTTTTAAATGTGGGTGTGTTACCTGGATTGCTGTGCGGCACCACCCCGGGGCGTCTTATTTGTAAGTAGTGTCTCATCTCAGGAACTGAATTCTGCGTGAAAGGTGCCCCCTGAAGTTGTTCAGCAGAAGGTTGTTAGTAGGGCTTAATGGCTGTTTCAGGTTTAAAGCATTTTTTGTTTTATGCCATCTCTCAGGAATTGCAGAGATATGGTTTGGATTATATCACTAATTCAATTGGAATTCGCTTTTATTTTGTGCAGAGACTCTCATAAAATTTAAGAAAAAAAAAGTTGTGATTATCCTGGCCTTGAAACCACCTGCATGAAAACCAGTGTCGGTTTCTCAAGAGTAGAGCCTAGAATAAATGGAAAGCACGCAAGTCGAACATTAAGTAGTTCCGTATAATAATACCTTCTTCACAGGCGACATTACCTTCCCTGCCTCGGCCCCTAAGGATGCCTTCTGGAGAGGGTGACACACACGTTCCATCATATTCAAGGCCTCACTTCCCTTGAGCGGCCCTTTCTGATACTTTCGTGGCCCACCTTCGGAGTTTTGGAAGGACCGGTGGAGCCTACGCCTCTCGGCCCAGTCAGCTGTTCCCAGTCGTAGTATAGTGTTCGTTGGTGGTCATCTAGGTTTCCGTGGGTCTGGACTCAAAGTTGAGACTGCTAATAGCGAATGTGTACTGAGACCTCACTGCATGTCAGGCACTGTTGTACATATTGGGTTGTCTAAAAAGTCCGTTTACTTTTTTTCTGTAAAATAGAAGGCACACTTTTCATTTTCACCAATAACTTTATTGATTTGGGTTTTTTGAGTATGTTGGCTCTCTCCCACGTGCTAGAACTTTGATTGTTCTCAATTAATGTCTTGATTTGATCGCTATCAACTTCAGCTGGTCTACCCATCATGGAGCATCATCAAGAAATCCCCAGCATGAAACTTTGCAAACCCCATTTGAAACGTTCGATCAGTCACAGCAACTTCTCCATACGCTGCACAAAGCTTTTTTTGCATTTCAGTTGTATTTTTACCTTTCTTGAAGTAATAAAGCATACTATGCCAAAAATGTTGTATATTTTCTTCCATCTTCAATATTAAAATGGCTACATAAAAATTCACCAATTTTGATAAGTTTTTAAAAAATGCATGCTGATATGACAGCTGCCACAGTATACTCCAATCAAATTGTTTTGAATGACATTAAAGATACTACTAGAGCCATCTTATGGGGAAAAAAATGAACTTTTTGGCCAACCCAATACATTAAAGTCATTTAAACTCACAACAACCTCATGAGGGTAGGTACTGTTAAGACCCACATTTTGATGATAGTAAATAGAGGCTCAGAGAGGTTAAGTAAGTTGCCTACGATAATACCAAATGTATTAAGTTTTCGAGAGCAGCCATAACATAGTGCAGGGGGCTTAAACAACAGAAATGTCAACACAGTGCTGGAGGCTACAAGTCTGAAATCAAGGTACCACTAGAGTTTGGCAGGTTCCTTCTGAAGTCTGTGAGGGCCGAATCTGTCCCAGGACTGTCTCTTTGGCTAGTAGACAGCTGTCTTCTCCCAGTGTCCCTTCTCATTGTCTTCTCTCTATGCATGTCTCCACGTTCAAACTTCCCCTTTTAAAATGACAACCAGTCATATTGGATTAGGGCCCCCCTAATGACCTCATTTTAACTAGGTTATCTTTATAAAGACCCTATCTCCACCGAAGGTCACATTCCGAGGTACTGGGGGTTAGGACTTGGGCATACAAAGGGCAGAGGGTGGTGGGCATAATCCAACCAGTAACATCGTTTAACAGCAATGGAGTTCTGTCCAGCAGTCTTCCTCGCAGCCCGAGCTTTCAGTCCCCACTGAAATTGTCATTTTTGTGGGTCAGACACGGTTGAATATTGGTTATATGCTTCAACCTGACCTGTTTCCAAATTACCAGGATGCACCTCATAAGACGTTTCGGTCAATGACAGACCATATGTACAGTGGTGGTCCCGTGAGATTTTAATGGAACCAAATTTCCTGTAAGGAATGGAAGGACATGTGGTTCAGGAGGACTTGTTTTCCCGTGATGGATCAGTATCTGTGAGCCGTGGCAGTAGGTTCCCTCTCACTCGTAGCACCTCACGTTGAGTGCACAGGTGACGTGAGCCTCTGTCAGCGTCTGTCCTGATTCAGCACCGAGGAGCCCGTCCCCCGAGCACCACACATTCAGAGGGTGCTGCAGCCCTCCCAGACCTCGCCTGATGGTCTTCAGAGCGCATGGCTGTGATTCCCGGTGGAGGCCCGAAGGCACCATACAAGGTCACAGGTCCATGGGAGGTGCCCGAACCAGTGTTCTGGGTCATGGCTGCTTTATAAAGCTTCCTGTGGTTGTATGGAGCCAGCCTGTCCCTGGACTTGGGAAATATTTTCAGGTTGTAATGATAAAGCATAGATGAGCTTGCCTTCTTCCATCAGTTCAATGCCAGAGGGTCCATGGAACCAAAAACAAATTTCCAAAGTCAAAATACCGAGGCCTCAGTTCTATACCCTCTCCATGTTAAAAACCGTCTTTTTGTTTTAATGACTACCCCAAAGTTTCTTAATCTGCCATTGCTCCAACATGCAATAGCCAAAACCACATTGCCATGACAATCCCCTGTGTCCCTTTATCTTTCCTTCTTGATTTCTTACTCCTACTGACCCTCAGGCCACCGTCCACTCCCTCCTGACTGTCACGATGTTGGCGATCTGTGCCCTAGCAGCCCCTTCCTGCTCGGTATTTCCAGTCAGCCCAGCCCACATCCCTGTTCACGGAGCAGCATCGACGGCGTCGATGTCCTCTTTCTGACCCTATCGGAAGGAAGCAGGGGGAGGCACTTGCCGGGCAGTGTTTACAAAATCTGCAGTGGTGCACAGTGATGTCCTGGGCCTTCCCAGTCGCTCCCCACTGATTCCCTGACTCACCCAGAGCAACATCGAGTCCCACAAGCTCCATTCATGGTAAATGTCCTATACAGGTGTACCATTTTTCTACAGTAATTTTTTATTTTTCAACTGTAGTTGACATAAAATATTATACTAGTGGCAAGTATATAACCCAGTGGTTGGACTTTATATAACTTACTAAGTGATCAACCCAGACAAATCTGGTACATATCTGACAACATATATAGTTATTATAGTATTATTGACTGTATTCCCTATGTCATATTTTACATCCCTGTGACTGTTCTGTAACTACCAATTTGTACACTTCTTAATCCCTTCATTTTATTCACTCATTCCCCCACCCTCCCATCTTTCACCTAGTCCCTCAACCCTCTCCCCTTTTTTACTTTTATACCATATTTTTACTGTACCTTCTCTATGTTTAGATAGAACAAATTCTCATCATTGTGTTATACTTGTCTGCAGTATTCAACGACAGTAACATTATGTACAGGCTTATATCCTAGGAGCAATAGGCAACATACGCCATATAGCCTAGTGTGTAGTAGGCTAACCATCTCAGTTTGTGTGAATGTACCCTATGAATGTCTGCATGACGAAATTGCCTAACAATACATTTCTAAGAGCCTGTCCCTGTAGTTAAGTGACTCATGACTGTATGTCATTCAGGTCAATCTTATATAAATATTGTCACCCTCAATGTGCCTGGCAATGAGCAATGGAGAATACCCAAGAACTAAAGTAAAGGCACTACAGCCTGGAGAATGTATACGTCCTTAAGTATGTATCCTCCTAATTCTGTCTCTTAAGTGTAGCCAGGCCATAAACTTACACACAGAGCGCTTTGAAAACAGTCTCAGTTACTCTGCAAAGGAGCATCTATGATTACCTTCTAAAATTTCAGTTCTGGCAAGTACGGCAGTTTTGGACCAGGGAACAGACAGACACAGAGCATCTAAGCTTTCACTAGTTCACTTCTTAGGGCTCTCCAGGTACGAGCCAGGAAAAAGCACCTCCGTCCTGCTGACCTGTGGAAGAAGGACCGGCTTCGAATTCCACCAGGGCTATGATCACATTTAAAGCTGAACGTGGCAGTTTCAGAATTGGAGAGCACTATGTCCTGGTCAAGACCGGTTGCCCTTTTATATAATTTATAAAATTCAGTTTATTAAGTAAACTTAATCTTTAAAAATGTATAGAGCAGCTCCAGGGAGATATGGTAGCCCCTATGTATTTTAGTTTTGTTTCATTGGCTTGTCAATCCTATTTCCCTAGTTGCTTTTATGAAAAAAGTCCTTTTCATTAACATGTATCATTATCATGTAAAACATTTTTCACTTCTCCCTTTATTTGAAAATATTCTGCTTTCAACAGTAACAACCTAACTTCATTGAACTTCCCTCTCTTCCCAACTCTTCTGTTTTCCCATTTGTCGGTGGTCATACTCGTAAGCGTCATCAGAAAAAAACTAGGATTCCCACTGAACCTAGGGAACACTTTGGCAGGCTGTGTACTTGCTCTCTGCTAACACTTTGAAGCGTGGCCACAGTTAGAGGACTTTGTCTTAGTCAGTTTGGGCTGCTGTAACAGGATACGATAGACTGGGAGGCTTCAATGACAGACATTTATTTCTCACAGTTCGGGAGGCTGGGAAGTCCAAGGTCAAGGCACCTGCGCATTTGGTGTCGAGTGAGGGTCCTCTTCCTGTGTCCTCACATTACAGAGAGAGAGGGCTCAGGTCTCACCTTCTCATCATGCCACATCATGAGGGCTCCACCTCATGACTTAATGTCCCCCCTCCTAATACCATCATATTGGGGCTTGGGGCTTGACTATATGAATCTTGGGGGGGACACAAATACTCAGTCCACAGCAGATTCTGAACCATCAGGGATCGACAACATGTTTCTCCTCCCTGCTCACGAGTGTGTTCTCTTGATTTTAGGTGTTCCCACCCCAAGCCAAGAAATTCTGCGGCACACGCTGAACACGCTGGTTCGGGAAAGGAAGATCTACCCAACTCCAGACGGCTATTTCATCGTGACCCCGCAGACTTATTTCATAACTCCTTCCCTCATAAGAACTAACAGTAAGTGGTACCATTTGGACGAGAGGATACCTGACAGGTCTCAGTGTACCTCCCCACAACCCGGAACCATTACGCCCTCTGCTTCGGGCTGCGTCAGGGAAAGGACATTACCCAGAAACCACTGCGACTCTTGCCACTGCTGCAGAGAAGACATGCACAGCATGCACGCGTCAACTCTGCAGAGGAAACCTGCCAAGGACTGCAAAGACCCTTACTGCCCTCCTTCACTCTGCCAGGTGCCACCCACTGAAAAGAGCAAAAGTACTGTAAATTTTTCTTACAAGACAGAAACTCTCTCCAAACCTAAAGATAGTGAAAAACAGTCCAAGAAATTTGGGCTCAAGTTATTCCGGCTAAGTTTTAAAAAAGACAAGACCAAACAGCTAGCCAATTTCTCTGCCCAGTTTCCTCCCGAAGAGTGGCCGCTGCGAGACGAGGACACGCCGACGACCATTCCCCGGGAGGTGGAAATGGAAATCATCCGGCGTATCAACCCGGACTTGACCGTGGAAAATGTCATGAGGCACACTGCACTGATGAAGAAGCTTGAAGAGGAAAAAGCGCATAGGAGTAAAGCTGGGTCCTCCGCCCATCACAGTGGAAGGAGTAAAAAGAGTAGGACTCACCGGAAGTCCCATGGGAAGTCTCGGTCCCACAGCAAGACGCGAGTCTCTAAAGGAGACCCGTCAGATGGTTCCCACCTGGATATCCCAGGCGACAGAGAGTATGACTTTTGTGATCCCCTCACCAGGGCCCCCAGGGAGGGCTGCTTCATCATTGAACACAAAGGAGAGAACTTCATTATGCACAGCAACACCAACGTGATCGAGCCTCATTTCCCCATGACGCCAGAATGGGATGTGTCGGGGGAACTGGCCAAAAGGAGAACTGAGATGCCTTTTCCTGAACCTTCCAGGGGGAGCTCCCACTCAAAAGTGCACCGAAGCCACAGCCATACCCAGGACCGGCGGTCCAGGAACGAGAGGTCCAACAAAGCCAAGGAGAGATCCAGGTCCATGGACAACTCCAAAGGCCCTCTGGGCGCCTCCTCTCTGGGGACGCCGGATGACCTGGCCGAAGGCTGCAGCCAGGATGACCAGACACCCATCCAGTCCTACATTGACGACAGTACCCTAAGGCCTGCCCAGACCGCCGGTCATCAAAGGGCTCACATTTTGTCCACAAGCTATAAAGAGGTGTGTATTCCGGAAAAAGTCGGGGGCGGCAAGGAGCCTTCCAGCGCTTGTGGCCTCTTGGAGCCAGGGAAACCACCTGAGAGTTTGCCGTCTTATGGTGAACTCAACTCTTGTCCAACAAAGACAGCCACGGACGACTACTTCCAATGCAACACCTCCAGTGAGACGGTGCTCACTGCGCCGTCGCCTCTGGGAAAGAATAAAGAGGACCACGACACTCTAGCCCTGGCAGAAGGGGTGAAAAAGCTGCCACTGTCTGATAGGCCGGCCCCGCATTCCTCCAGGGAGCCTGTGGGGCACAAGGAGGAGTCGCCGAAAGGGCCTGGTGGGGGCCCGGCTGCTTCAGGCGCGGCGGCAGAAGGGATTGCCAATGGACGCCTCATCCAGCATCACAGTGCCGAGCCCAGCAGCCTGGACAAGAGGAAAGAGATATTCAGCAAAGACACCCTGTTCAAACCTCTTCACAGCACCTTGTCTGTCAACAGCTATCACAAATCCAGCCTGTCCCTCCTCAAATCTCACCCGAAGACACCTGCCGACACACTGCCAGGCCGATGCGAGAAGCTGGAGCCATCATCCCTGGGGACCTCAGGGGCACAGGTCCTGCCAGCCCTTCAGCGTCAGCCGGAGTCTGGGGGGACCCAGGAAGCCTCTTTTGACTATTACAACGTCTCTGATGATGATGACTCTGAGGAAGGGGCAAACAAGACCACCGAGGAGGAGAAAAACAGAGACGATGTGGGCACCATGCAGTGGCTCCTTGAGAGGGAGAAGGAAAGAGACTTGCAGAGGAAATTTGAGAAGAACCTCACCCTTCTTGCCCCGAAAGAAACCGACAGCAGCAGCCACCAGAGAACCACCCATTCGGCGCGCCTGGACAGCATGGACAGCAGCAGCATCACCGTGGACAGCGGATTCAACTCCCCACGGTAGGGAGAGGCGCCTCCCCGCACACACATACACCTGCCTGGGCCTGGGGCTTTACGCAAAGCCCTCCAAAAGCTTCTGGTTTCACAGGCTCAGTTCTGCGAATGAGGGTTAAGGGTTGTGTGAGTTGCGTTGTTAACAACCTGTTTCTGACTTCTTTTTCAGGAATTGAAAACAAATGTTTCTGCAGCTGTAGAGATCACCAATCTGGACTGGTGGGTTGGCCCCTTCCCTCTAACTTGAATCAGTCCAATCTAAGAACAACATTTCCCAGTATTTTTCTATGTTTACATTGCCACCATAGGGTTTTTGGGTTGTTTTTTTTTAAGTCCTTCAAAAATCGAGTAGAATGAGTCGGGGGTAGGGTAGAGGCTGGGAATAAATTGACTGACTCAAGGACTAGAGTCTCTTTAGTTGACAATATACAGTTGACTCTTGAATAATATGGGCTTGAACTGTGTGGGTCAATTAAGGGCAGATTTTTTCAATAAATACTGTAAATATATTTCTTTTCCTTATGATTTTCTTAATAACATTTTATTTTCTCTGACTTTATTGTAAGAATACAGTGTTAATACATATAACATACAAACAAGTGTTAATTGACTGTTTATATTATCTGTAATGCTTCCAGTCAGCAGTGACCTACTATTAGTTAAGTTTGGGGGGAGTCAAAAGTTATACGCAGATGTTCGACTGCGGGAGGGTCAAAACTCCTAACCCCTGTCCTGTTCAAGGGTCAACTGTAAATCATATCTCAAAATGTTTCCAGTGGATCTAGAAGCTGGCTGCCATTTTAACCCCAACTTTCCGTGTGGCTCACCTCACCTTGCTCACACACCTTCCTCTCACCACTCACGTGACTACAGAGAAATGGACCTTGTTCTTCCCACGGGAAGATTGGGGGCCTCTACTCTATTAGATCAGAGCAGGTGCCAGCACTGTTCTTTCTCCCCCTGTAGAACTGATACAACCTAATCTGAGTCCTCTAACCAGAGCCCCCCCTTTGCAGTAGGTGCTGATAATTCAGCAAAGGGTTGACGGCTGAGAGTATGTGATGCTTGGTAGTCGTGTTTACTGCACTGAAGTGTTTCAGAGGTTAAGAAAGCAAAAGAGAGTCTATGCAACTTCCCTTTTCTTTTCCTTCACTCTTTCTTCTCCTCAAAGAGCAACTCGGGCCCTCATTTTCCTTCTAAATTCTACTCCAGATTGGTGACTCTGAGATGCAGAAATACTGTTGAGAGGTTGACAGTCCTCCTTTGCTGTGATTCCCAAGATTTTTACAATATTTATAATTTTAACACGTATTCAGATATGATTATGTACTTCATATATTTATTTTAATTGTTAGGAATTATAATCAGTTCTAGTGTGATCCTTTCACTGTATCTCTAGATGATTTGGGGACATAGCATCCCAAAATTAGAATTGGTAATCATTAATCTCTTTGTCACATATTAGGCCTTTGTTATCATCATCATCATCATCATCATCATTGTCATGTAACCATTTTTACGAGTTAACACGGGTGGAAGTCTAGTATCTAAACAGATGACAGAGCTGGCACTCTGGTTAAAGTGGGTGAAAGACCAGGGTCTCACTCTGCCTGTCCCTGAGGAGCCCTAAGCATAGAGCTCAGGGAACATAGCCCTCAGTCTGAAAACTACCAGCCTATTGAATGGCTTTTCTAAGAAATAACTTTTCCCACATAATTTCCAAATCAAATCTTAATTTATTTACCAATTATTTTGTTGTATGTCCTTTCCTTTCTACTGCTTTCTTCTACTCTTTTTTCTCCCCTTGAATTCTTTCCAGAGGATACCTTGTAAGCATATTTGAAGGTCTGTAATCGATGGTAGAAGTTCAAACCCATCATTTATGGAAGGTGTGGTTTCTATTTGCCTGTGCCTTATATTCTACTATTTCTTATTATGAAGGCTCCACCCACCTAATGCTTCTCACACAGCCACTTCCAGCCCCGCATGTGGCCCTTGGCCCCGGACCTCTGCTGAGAGGAAACTGGAGCACTCCAAAGGCAGTCCCTAAGGGGGTACAGAGAGCAGCTTAATGGTTCTCCCGCGAGAACCTGCCCCTGCGTAACGTTGGACGTCTTTGGTTTGTTTGGGGGCAAAAGAAACAGAAATATTCACGACGTAGTTGAACCAGTCTCTCCACAGACTACATTTTATCTGTAAATCTGGGCTTCAGAATCCAGGATATGAATGGGATTATTTCTTGAAATTAGTGTATTAGCATTTCTTTTAAGTGCTTTGTCACGGGAGAAGGCAAAGGATATTCTGAGGAGACAGCCTTCACAAATTGCTACGTGCCTGCCCGCTCTCTTTAGGCAGAATTTTCTCCAGAGAAATACGCAGCTCACCCATCAGTATCATGCGGTTAAAGGATCTACCTGAGAGTTCCTTACTGTACCCCCTTCTTTTTGAGTACATTTTCTATACCTACGGGCACAATGTATTTTCTGTACACCTCAGTGAATTCACTAAGCTGCCTTTCTAACTAATGCGTAGGAATAGTCTACGCGGGAGCATAGTTGAGTTGCAGGGAGTTTACTGGCTAGCAGGAGGGGTATTTTAGCCAGATAGCATCATTATACCGGCACCTCCCCACAGGTGTGAGGTACAGAAATCTTAGGTGGACCATTTATCCTGGTCTCCCAGTCAATAGTTCATGGAATGACTAAGATCCAAATTTTAAAAAAAAGACCCACAATGGCGGTCCCCACACTCTCAGCTTTCAGTGCTTGCTCAAGAGTCATGTTCAGCCACATTTCTGAAATTCTTTAGTCCCTTTTTTGGGACTGAAGGTAGGAACTTAAAAAAGGGGACTGGAAAAAAAGGTAGAAACCTAAGCTCTGCCATAGATCTAATCCTGACACTGAAATTTTTTGACATGAGAAGCCTGCTATTCCAAATCTGAGGCCACAACTGGTAGATAAACTTAACATGAAAACTGGAGGGATGCGAGGCAGCCAGGGCTGTGCCTGCTGTCCACACCGTGCGATGCACGCCGCCGAAGCCGGGAGCTGCGGGAGGCGCGCGCACCGGGAGGACGCGCGCACCGGGAGGACGCGCGCCGGAGCAGCCGGGTTCGGGCCTTCTGCCTATAAAATCCCCAGGCCTTGCTTTTAAGGCGGCACTCCATTAGCTCTCTCCTTAAAAAAGTAAGAACATTTAAATTTGCAGGACATTGTTACTGCTAACACCCCATCTCTGTTAACTTTTTCGTCCTCACGCCCAGAGCCCTCAGTGTGAATGCCACGCACTGCGCTCATGATTACAGCGATCACGAGATGTACCCTTCAGAGAAACTGGAGTACTGTGTACGTTTATCACGGTGAATATGTGGGCCGCAGCAAAGAGGCATCCCAGAGCACAGACAGCAACCGGCGTAGACTGCCCTTCGCGGCGATGTGTGTTTGCGGTGCCTTGCACAACGCCTGCCATACAGCAGGTCCATGTGAAGCCCATGCCTCAAAAGCTGGTTTAAAAGTGGGTTCTTTGGATCTTCCAATGTGTTTTTCCATAGAAAAGATGGCATTAGTATAGATTCCCAAACCAACCCACAGGAGCTACTTTCTTCACGACATGCCGGATACTGAACAGAAATAATTTATATTTGTCTAGCTGTCCTGTGTACAAATTCTTCATTGACACATGTGTCTTCTTCATGGTCACCCTGTGAGTAGGCAAATCAAGTAACCTTCCCGATTTTAAAAATGAGGATGTTAAATACCAGTGGGGAGAAATACTACCGTGATTAAAGATGAAGCTGAAAGAATGTGTCATGGAATTTCTGGGGTCTGCATGTTTATCACCTTTCTTCCCTCCTTCACCTGACCTGTGCCTCCGTTGTAGGGCTGGGAAGTCACTGATGAGTTTTCTTAGGGAAGAGGTCAGGCAGGTAAGTAGGTAAGTTCAGTGCCTTCCATAACGTTAGTGATGATGTGTTGAGTATTCTTTAGGTATGCCCAGATTCACCACAGGCATAATGGAAGAACTTGACGTATTTCTATAACGGTATTAACCTTCTGGAGGTACCCTCTGCTGTCAAGAAATGTTGGTTTTTTTTGTAGTCGATAAACACATTTTCTTTTGAATAATTAACTCTTGGCCCGTTGATGAGAAGCAATCTCGAGGCCACAAGGAGTTAGAATGGAAGAACCTGAGAGTAAGGGCTGCCAGGGTCTGGGGTTCAGACAAAAGTGCCATCGTGTTTGGACGGCAGTGAGGGGCGGGGGCTGTCCACTGTTGTACTTTGACCAGTAGACCAGCTTCAGCAGGCTCACATCAGTTATGGGGACCAGCTCCCGTCCAGTATTCTGTAAACCTTGACTCTCTCCAATAGAATGGATGGATGTTTTGAGCCCCCTCGGGCTTCTTCAGTCTCTCTGTCAGCTGCTAATGTTCTTATTACCATTTTGAGGACCTTGAACATGAAACCCATTCAGCTCCTATCAATTGGGCCAAGTAATCTTATTTCTGCTATTTCCCTACACATTTGAAATATTAAACGTTCCAAGTCTCTTGGAGCAATAGAATAGATTTCAGTATTTCTAACTTAGAAAAAGTAAGAGAAATTAAAAATGTCAAATTAGTCTTTAACTCACCTCTATTCTATAAGAATCCTTTAAAATTCCTACCAACGAGTGTGTATGGATGGGATATGCAGATAATGTAAACTTCACAAGTGAATGGGTAACATCAAAGATTCCTCATCTGAAAATATGGTGTGTAATGTGTTTTCACTAACGTGTTAAAATTTGAAACAGAGGGGGATGGTGTTTAAAAAGAATTTTGTTTCCACCAGTGTGGTAGATTAGCCAATGGCACGCTTGAAGTCCACCGAAGTCAAACTCTGCGAATTGAGAATGAAACAGAACCATTAGGGTACAATTATTGAGTTTATTCAGGAGCAGTTACATCAATGAATTTCCTGCCTGAAATGAAATCATTGCACATGTGTATTTATGAGTATTTTTAACACTTGATGCGATAGCTATATATCACATCAAATTTTGGGGTCGTTTCCTTGAGTAGGGGGGAGGCATTTAAAGGGCGCTCACCATGGAAAAGCCCTTTATTCAGGGCGCTGCTGAAGGTGCATGTTTTGCAAGCTCCTGGAGCCACATGTGAACGATCAGTGGGCGTGGTCCGTGTGGGGCGTTATGAGCCAGCAGACAAAAACCCATTAACTCCATCATTTGCTCTTCCTCTGGAGCTCCCTCTATAGTGCTTTATGTTCAAAACAAAACAAAACCCACCCTTTTTACTCTTGTAGCACGCGGGAGAGCCTGGCTTCCAACACGTCAAGCATCGTCGAGAGTAACCGTCGGCAGAACCCTACCCTGAGCCCGGCCCACGGCGGGGCTGGCCCAACCTTCAACTTCCGAGCAAGTACGGACCCCCCGAGCAGCGACGCCGAGAAATTACAGAAACCTTCCAACTGCTTGCAAGCTTCTGTGACTAGTGTGTGATAGTCGTTCTGCCTCAGATTTCCTGTCTCGTTCGATGCAGCCAAGTTTACGACACTGGGACTGATGTTTACATCTTCGGGAAGACAAGCATCTCAACCACAGTTTTCGTGTTTACTTAAACTGTGCTGCTAAGTAGGCTAGAGCAAAACACAAAAGTCTTTCTTTCAGAGTATTGCTTCTCACATGTATGGCTCTGTAGCAACAGAATAGCAGTAGGGGTGATATGTACACTTTTGCTTCACTAATTGTACCTGAGCACCCATAGGAGAGTCTAGACACTGTCAGTGTGATGCGCATTTTCGATGTCATGCAGTTTGCCAATTCCATGTTTAAATGCCACAGGTGCGTGTTGCTCCCAGACTGTGGGCAGATGGTGCCGCAGAACTGATTCTTGACACTTCCAGAAAACAACAACAAAACAAAACTAAGCCACCACCGAATGTCCAATGCGAGGGCCCACCGTGAGGGACGTCAGCCCCGCCCCGCTGAGAAGGGACCCCAGCCCTCTGTGTGTGAATCGCCTAGGCACCCGTCATTTGTCACTGTGAGTGTGCGTGAAGCGGCTTTGCAGGCGCCCAGGGAAGTGTGTCGCGAGGGTCCTGATGGCCGTGCTGGGGGCGTGTGTTTGCGGGATTTTGTGTTTAAGGTCACAGATGCTTGTCTGAGTTTGAACCTCCCATGATCACCCACAGGAATATAGGCCTTTGAATCTGAAGTAGATAAAGAGGAAGGGGTCCCCAGCCTGGCTGGGATGCAGCACGCGGTGACGGAAGAGGTAATGCGGACTCTAAAAGGTGTTCGTCCAGTACGTAAGGAAGAGAGAGAGGAAGAGCGCTTCCTTTTTGGGATACTTATGATGATCCTAGCTTACTATAATAGATGCGATGATTAGTTTGTTTAAAAGCAAAATGTTCTTTGTGATACAAATGAAGAGTATGGCCTGGGGGTGTTATTCTTTCTAATGGAAGGACATAAATCTATTTTATGTAGTTTTAAATAGAATGCCTAAATTAGGCTGTGGGAGATAATTTTTAGTGGTTAGAGGAAAGAGCAGATTTAGGGAGAGTTGAACTTCAGGCCTTTTATTCCTGGGAAGATATCTATAGAGAAAACTTTAAAGTAATTTTTGATCAGAAATATACATGTGCCCATGTAATTAACAACAGGATGAGCTCATTCTGCAAGTGTGGTATAATTCTAACTTCCACTCCCCTAAAATTTACCAGAATGACAATTATGCATACATGAACTATGCCTGAGTAATGTTTACAGATACTTTGTAACCCATTTCAGGAGGCATTTTTAGGTGGCTGCGCAGTTATTAGCCCCAACTTAATCTCAAAAAGGTTTGTTAACATTTGGCTTTAGTTTACAACGTCACATCGAATACAGAGAAGCTGGTCAGCAGCAAAGGGATCACAAACAAGCTTCGGCCTTCTAAGAAAGAGACTTTTCAAAGCCCCCTTGTTTTATTTTATGAGAACAGCAGAATAAATCTCAAGAGAGTGGAAACTTATTTGCAAAAGGGTTACATAGGACACGAGTAAAAAGGTCTGACCAAAAATTTATTTAGTTTAGTGGCATGTGATGTTTGGAGCCATATACCATAAAATATAGATCCAAAAATAAATCTAAAATATTTTTTCCTCAGATTTCAATCAATGGCATAAAATCTGGGGAACATTTCTGCTCCAGTATGAGGTTTAGTCCCTGGCCATCTGTAAAGGATGCGGTCGTATACATGCTCAGACTGATTCTTGAAACACGTGGGCGCCCACTCATGCCGTACCAGATACTTGGAAGTTGCATGGGAAACTGGATGCATCGAGTTCAGTACAGGTTCATTCCGTGCGCTTAGAGTGCAACCTAAGTCCACTTCTCGGTAAACTCCCACACCACGAAAATGCGTAAGTCAGCTGGCGGTCAGGACCATGCCTTATTTCCTCTAAGGCATGCTTTGATTGCTCAGAAATGCACTATTTGTCTCACTGCTTAAATATGTCCCGAAAGAATGATAATGTATCGAAGAGACTATATACAAAGTCTGTTTCCTTGGGGAGTTGTATACCATACGGTTACTAAATTCTTCTGCCTAAATTCGCTTTTTTTCCCCCAAAAACCTGCTCTCAAGTGTTTATCATACTATCAGTTCATAAATAATATAACCATTAAAACAATCCATCAGCCTCTAGTTGATCCTCTGAAAGTAGCCGTTATAATAATCAAATGCTGTGGGAACAGGAAAGGAAAGCATTACTTTTAGAAGCTTTAAAATATGAATTTATCAATATTTCACAAGAAGTAGGTTTACAGAAGATGTTATTCAAATGAAATGTGTACACTATTTGCCTGATGCTATGGGGTACCTGATTTGGAAAAAAAGAAAAAAGAAAAAAGAAGAACTCCCTGAGACCAGCAGCCATTAGCATAGAAATAATGGACTTTAAAGATGATACTATGTAAGCAGACGTTCCATGTAGAAACAACCCCATCTCATCTATTTGGGATTCCTCAATGGGGAAGGAGGGTGGCAGGAAGCACATTATAAATGTCACCCAAGATGGTCTACGGTGAGGTTCTCAGTGACCAAACGCTCGGGCCGCTCCAAGCTTCGCCAACATCCTTGTCCTCCAGTGAAATGATAGCTTTGTGCTACACAGATGCTTAGCTAGTCTTCACTTAGAGTGTATCAACTGAAAGGTTTACAAAATTGAATCTGGTTGAATCTCTGTGTAGCATTCAACTTTAAAGGGTCAACCCATCTGTCGGCATTTTGCACACTTATGTATTATTATGATACAGCATATTACTTTATGGTAATTTTTATTTTTACATATAACTACCTCCATAAATTTGATGAAGCAGCAGCAGTGCGTTGAAGTGTGTTCAAAAAAGCAGTTTAAAACTCGCGTGTCATTAGGCCACGGCGTTCGGTGTGTGTGTCGGTGATTGCCTGTGTGGACTCATGACTTCTTCATGGCCATGGTTTCCTTTGATGGCATTATTTCACCTTCAGATGTAAACCTGTCTCTCCTCTCTTCCCCACGAAAGCGCACTTGATTTTGTTATGAATGATAGGAAGTTTAAATTTCTTGTCTTCTCCCTCCCTCCGCCCCAATTCCTGCTCGAAGTTCCCCCTAGCGAAGAGCCAATTGGTAAATATAACTTGGCAAGCTATTGACTTCTATAAAAACCTGATTTCAGTTCTAGATTTTCAGTAGCAGAAGACACACAGGGAATTCGGACTGCCACCTCTGAAGCACTTTGGTCCCCTCTGCCTCCACTCGCATGCCACCATGTCAAACCTACACTTCAGTGAACAGAGCTGTGCTGTGTAGTCGCAACTTGTGCCAACTAGTTGGTATTCCATTCTGTATATTTTGCACATCTCAGGGGACCTTAATGAGCATGCGAAAAGGGGGGTGCTAGCAAATTGAGGAAATAACTCGGAGGGCTGAAAGGGGACTAGCTGGAAAAAGAAAACAAACGATTGCTTCTCTGACTTTGGGAAGCTCAAGTTCAGGAAGAAGAAATTGAATGTTAATATGGAGTAACAATGATCTGAACACCAGCTGTTCCCCAGTCTCCCTTTTCCATAACCCAACCAGCATTTCTAAAATGCAAATTTCAATGATAGTGCAGTCACCTCGGGGACAAAAACAACAACAAACCAACTCTTCAGTGGAAACGAAAGCATTGTTCCCTTTTTTAGGTTGGCACAGCTTTGCAAAATTTGACCCAGGATAAACCACTTAACCACCACAAAGTGTACTTGAAAACAAAGTTTTTAATTTCAGTGATAGGCCTGTTGCTCACAATACAATAGCAATCATATTTTGAAAAGTCTCATCATTTATAACATGGGCAGTATTTGGAGCTTGATTAAAAACCAACAATAACCTATAATGACTTTGCAAGTTCATTTTGGGATCTCAAAGTGCTTCCAAAGCATTCAGAATCACAAAGAATCCACCCAGCAGGTCCTATTTATAATACCCATACTTGAAATGAATAAACAGAAGGAGTGACAAGATTACCCAGAACACAGTGGCAGCTATCAACAATCTCTTTTCTATCTGTTTGATAGACCATCATGAGAAATCACTCAGTACAATGCTATTTTTTCTGATGTGTGCTAATAAAGTCAAAGAAAACAAATGCAACTTTACACCTTTGTCCATTTTCATTCAAAAAGTTCAAGGTGTTTGGAGTTTTACACCTCAGTACGCCTCACTGGTATCGATTTATGAAGTGGGAAGTCAACACATCCATTCACATCCCATTGTGGTCAGTGGTAGATCTAGACCCACACCCTTGTTTACAGTTTCATATTGGGCTTCTGTAACCCCTGCGCTAAAATACCATCTTTCAGGAACACGACTGCTCCTGGCAGTGGAAGGTGCTGCAACAGATGTTTTCATTAGAAACTGCCTTGAGTACTCTTCCCGTGCTTCTTAGCACAACAGAAATTCAGTACCATTATCAAGCCCTGCTCCGAAGAATCAGGGTTGCCAAGAGAGCTGATGTAGTTCTAAGTGTTTTCTCAAATTAGGAGATAGAAGACCCTCAATGGGGACTTTCTCTCTTGCCACAGGCCAGCCACAGGGCCAGCTGGCAGCATGCTGGCAGGTGACAGTGGACCCCAGCAGAAGTGACCCTTTCCTTCCCTCTCCCCAGCCCTGGTCCTGTCCTGCCCATTGTCAAGGCCACCAGTACTCTTCTGTTCTTGAGTGACTCTCCTGCACATGTGTAGGGCCAGGGAAACGGGACACAGGAGAAATGAATGCAAAAGCCATGGAAAACATTGTTTTGCTTTGGTTAGTAAAATATGGGCAGGAAAGAGATTACCATTGCTCTGATCTCTGCCAAGTGAGATAAAAGAATCAGCTGTCACTCCGTCACTCTCCCAGAAGGGTTTACAGCATTAAGGAAGCATCCAAGATTTTCCCAGAGATTTTTACGTAGGAGACATTTCATAAATTGCATATATGAGAAAATTCATTATTAAATGTCCTGGTGTGTTTGAAATAGACATTGGCATCTCCCGGGCTGAGTTCGTCTCGGCATCTCTTGCAGCAGCGTCCCAGAGAACCCCCGGTGATGGTTCCCCTGACACAAGACCCGGTTTTTTCACAGTCATGTTGTCTGTGGCTTACAGTTGCTGATTTGCAAAGTTCAGAATTCTACAAGGCTCAAGGGTGGCTCAGCCTCCTTCTTATGATGGCGTATTATCAATTATCGGGCTTTAAATTGCTCCTGTTGGCTTCAAATACGAACACACACACACACACACACACACACACACACACACACACCCTGCCAACGAGGGAAGGGGCTGTTTCCCAGGTGAGGCAGTGATGATGGGAAGCCCATGTAAGACTAGAAGCTTGGCTGGTCCATATACCACTGCCTACCTCCCTGTCCAAAGGTTGACCTTGGCACCACGTTCCTTTCCTCCCACCTAAAAGAGGTACCAAATCTGAGATCTGAGATCTCCTTCAATATCAGTCCTCTGCAGTTACAGGAAATTTATCATGAACGACACACTCCACAGCTCCTCGCCTTCCTGCCCTCCAAGCCCTCTCCCTCCTCCCCATCTCCCCACCTAGATACCGATACACCGCCGCGGTCTCCACATTGGAAGGGCGAAATAGTGTGTGGTATTGTGCACACATGATGGGTTAGCGCCACAGCTAACCTCAGGTCGCCTTCCTGTAAGTATTGACAGCTACAAATTAAGGTCCTTAGAGTAGTTGACATAGATACGACTTTCTAGCAGAGAATTAAATTTCAGCGTTCAGTTTAAAGGGATCATAATTCTGCAGGTATCTTTCTCTGAGTGACTGAATGTGACTATTGCATTAGGGTAAATGAATTAAGAGGTGCAAGTGGGATTTCCTGTATGTTAGAAAGGAGTTTTGCAGCCAAGACTGCCTTGAAAAAAATGTGTTTGCACTGAAAAAAAAAATTTAAATTACTTGGTCTCTGGTTGCTGTAAAGGTCATCCAAGATGGATGTTCTGTTTATATTGTATAGTATTTCATATGAAATAATTACAGTTCATGAAATGTCTTCCCTAATGTTACTGATTTATAACAGCACATTTGTAACATGGTTTTTATCGTGTCAGTGTGCCATATTGTAAATGATGATTACTTGTCATGCTTAGTATAATAACTTAAAAGAAAAAAAAAGCACAGGGATTTTTGTAAGTCTATATTTGAAAGTCCCTCCATATGGTAATATTGTGTTCATGTTGTTTATGTAGTGTTGTGTGAAATATCCATTTTGGATTGTGTTACTTTTTAAGATATTAAATAACATTTGGTTATATGTCTAAGTGGATTTTTTTGGTACCTGAGAGAAAATACCCTAGGTGAGATCAATTTATTTTTCTCCTCAATTAATATGATTTCATAACAAATTTTTATTGCACAGTCTTTATTAGCACTTTTGAATTAAAACAACTAAAAATGGACATTTCTGATCAAAGTCTTTTTCAAGGAACGTTGAAAAATTCACATTTTTAGCTAGTTATTCAAATTTAAAAGAGCGAGACTTAGAGAACCATATAATTAAGCTTTCTCTATGAAATTGGAAAAAGGAATGGAGTTGTTTTTGTTTTTGTTTTGTTTTGTTAGCACTCACATCCCAGCTGCTGTCCCCAAATAAACGTGATCCCCTTTCCTGTAAACCTTTGGAGGTACTCAAATCTTCCAGTGAGGTACTTGCACAAGTAGGGAAGGCCTTCGGAGTCTAGTATTTGTTCTTTTGACTCTTCACTGGTGGCAAATCTTTGTTCTGGGAGAATGGACTCCATTTTCTCAAACCAAAAATGACCTGTTCAAGTGATTAAGCTGGGAAACAGCATTCTTAATCAAAAACAATATGGAGCTCTAAAGTTGAGCCTGACTTTCTTATAAAGGCATTACCCCAAGCCGACTTCCCAAAACTGCTTTGAACGATGGCAGTGTCATTGGGACACGTGTGCAGAACCCAAGGTGACAGCTTTGAAGGCCAAGTCTTACTTTAGTTGAAAGAGTTTTGTCTCTATATATTTCAAACTGTCTCAATACAGACACTCCATTTTTCAAGCATGAGTTAGGACGAGCAAGAAGACTGAGAGTATATTGTGAGTATTACGCTCGGACCAAACGCGGCAGTGTTAAAGGAAGGGTTAACTCCACGTGTCTTCCAGAAAGATCCAGTCAACTAGACACATGGACGAGATGTGGTGACTTCCTACAGAGGTGGAAGGCAGGGCTCTTACTCCTTTGAAAGAATGGTCACAGTTCATAAAAACCTTTCCTTTCCAAAGGAAATGGTATGGTTTTAACTTATTTTTCAGTGTTTAGAATGGTGGGATTTTTTTCTTCCGTAAGGACGATCCAAGCAGAGGACTCAGTATTTGCCCTCACCCTGTTCCAGCAGTGAGATTGATAGCCACTGACTAATAAAAAGTAGTTATTCACCTGAATTTAATAACTCTTTTCACCATGAAAGCTTATCCCTGCTGTGGGGATACTTGGATTTCGTGACAGTCCCCCTCTTTGGGCTCAGTGGCTCCAGACTTTTCCTGTAAAGCAAATAGTTAATCACGTGACATACGGGGTAAGTGTGTGTGATGAACACTCGCAGAGCACGCTGCATACACCGTGCAGGAATTTCAAGAAAAGTCAAGGCACCTGCTCTCAAGTTAGGCTGCGGAGGGCTTTTGGTGAATCTTAAAAGAATTGCTTTAGAAATATGATGTTAAGCGTGAGTGGGAGATTCGATACATTAGATGAGACAAGAAGGGCAGCAGTGCTAGTCTGGGGGGTAAAGGGTGAAACTGAGCACATGCTCAGTGGAGAGGACAGCCTCTCCTCCTCACTCAGACCCAGGACTTTGAGGCGGGTGTCTGGCTCCAATGGCGTAAACGTCCTGCACCTTGAGCCAGAGCGGGCTTGTCTGGGTGACCACTTAGATGGCTGACTCAGGCCCCCTCCAAATTCCATCAAATATTCCTTCTAGGTCACCTGCCTTCACACCCCTCTTTCTTCTCTCTGTTGTAAATTTCAGTGCATTATTTTTCTTTTCTATTACCTAGGGCTTATTTTACTTTACTCTTTTCTCTGCACAAAACCAATAATTTTTGTTTGTTGTTATGCTGTCTTGTTTTTTAATATTTGGACTTGTTCCTGGTTTCAGTTATAAATATATATAAAATGATGCATAATATTACCACATTAATGCATATTAATAAAATAGGGATATGTAATATGTAATTTATATACATAGTAATTACGTATATAATTGCCATTGATTACTAGTGTTTTAAATTTCATATTTATATTGCCTTACCCTCTTTGTAGCCACAGCTCTGTCTTCCTTCGATCTCATGTCCTCTCACCTTTGTGCTGAGAGCCTTCTGTTCTCTAACATTTAAATAGAAATCTACCACCAGCTGACCCATCAAAGGCCTGAGAAATCGCTGGCAACTTTCAGAGGTAGAGAGATAGATGATGATAGACAGACAGATAGATACATACTGCATTAGAACAAAGACCTCTGTGTTGGTATAGTCTGTAATGTGTTCATTGGTTTTGAGCGCTTCTGAACTTTCTGCTCCTTTAGGATGCTCTAGGCTCACTTGCATATTTTTCTGCCTGAGTCACAGGATCAGCCACGTTTCCAAGGAGCCCTGGCTTCCTTTACTAGAGGATGGTGTTAGCAACCAAGATCCAGGTGCTAGGGAAGCCCACTGCTCCTGGAGAGCCATTATTTCCAGGCCCTGCCGCTGACAGAGCCAGGACACATATGTGCGTACACTAACCTGCGTATAGAGGTACGTCTGTAAGTATTTCCATATGTAACATCTGCATCTCTAGCAACTCCCTGTGAGTTCATACTGGTGTGTCCAGCGCTAATCCATCACTACAAAGACCACTCCAGCCGCCTCCCCTGTGCTTACCTGTAGCCTCCCCTTCCAGCTGCGAGAAACCCGGCCCCTGCCACTGCCACCCACATCTTTAATTGTTCTCTTGCAGCATACATGCATGATGCTTCCTCCACTGTATCTTATAATACTGATTAGAATACTATGGGTCAACGTGGAAGCGAAAACAATGGAAAGTTTTCTCTACTCCTAAGCAGGTGCTTACTTAGTGCGACAGAACATTGAAGACCATGAGCTTATTGATGGACACATCTGGTCCTAACAGGATTGTTCTAAAGAATTTTAAGGTTCAGGGGGAAAGGTCACTAGTAACATCCTCCAGTGTGTACCTGTCCTTTTGTCACATTGTCAGTACTTGGAAGAGGCTATGTTGACTTCAGAGTAATACACCATATTTTCAGTAAGCCCACTCTTCTCCCCACTTCCCATCTCGGCGTACCTAAATGTTAACCGTATTTCAAGGTGCAGCTCGAAGGCCTTCCATTCCCAAGGGCTCCTCTGGGTGCCCCCTGCCACTTTCCCGCCCTGACATGGTCAGGTCCCTTTACTTCCCTCACCCTCACTGTTTCCAACTGCGGTCGCCATTTTTGTCTTAAAGTCCAGAGTCCAGACTCCTGCCCAAGACCGTGACCTCAGCTAAACAATTTGTGCCACTTTTATTCTATTTACGGGATTTCCTGGGGGCGTTTCCTCTTGTCACCATTTCAGAATGGGCCTGGGCCAAGGCCTTAAGCAGGATTTCAAAAAGGTGGAGTCCTTGGCCCCCCTGCTTCTAACCTAAGTAGCTGTCTAGGAACGTGCTCACCGTGCTGTTGGAAACGGGTCTCCCTTATTACAAAAGAAAACCAGTGACCAGGGTATGGCTTTGGAAATGTCAAAAAGTTGTTAAAAGGTTGAAAAATTAGGGAATCCCCGTTCCCTTCTTTTTCTGGCTCTTGGGCTGGGGCTCGGGAGGAACCGGGCTGCTGCGCCGACTCCTTGGCATGCGTGCAACGCGAGGTGGGGGGAAGGCTTGGAGACGTGGTCAGTGGCCCCTGGATTCGGGTCAGGAGATGCTGTGGGTGTGTGAGCAGAGTTCCTTTGTGGGGAAGGGAGTGGCCGTGCGCCCTGCGGGGCTGTGACTGAGGCTTCTTCCCCAAAGTGGTGGGAGTATTTGTGACCTCAATCACAATATGTTTCCTTTTAACCATATCTGAAATCTACAGACGGCTGATGGTTATTTATGCAAACTTTCCTTAACAGTATAACAAAAAATGGACTTTCTCTCTCTCTTGATTTTGTTTTTCCCCCCTATCTCAGCCACATGTTTTTCTTTCTGTTTCTTGTCATTTCTTCCCCCAAACTCCTGCTCCTTCTCTTTTTGCATCTGTGAGATTTTGGCTACAGCTAATTTTTCATTTTAATGTTCTCATTTCTCTCTCCTAACCCTGTCTCGCACTTTTAAAACAAGTTCTTGATTTCGATTTCTTGATAATTTTTTTTTATGTCTTCCTACAACAGCGTCCCCAGCCACGGCTAACACAATCTGGAGCTGTGCTGTGAGACTATTTCAAAAGTGGAATCAGGGAGTTCTAGTTAACAGACTACTTGCTATGATTCCTAAATATTCAGGTTCACTAAAAATAATAATAAAATAAAATAAAAACTGTTAAAGCAAGCCTTGCTCTGGGTTGACATAATGCCCCAAGTGCCCGCAAAGCTCTGGTTTATCTGTGGTATTGGGATTGCTGTATTCAGCAGTAGTGCTAGGATGGAGTTATTCTGTGATGTCGAGGTTCAGAAACCAGGACAAGGACCCTGCCATGGGCTGAGAGAGTGGGTCAGTGGGAACTGAATGACCCATAGGTCTAGTTCCCAAAGGGAGATGGAGCGTCGCAGGTACGTTGAACGGGTTTCCAAATTTGCACTTCTTGAAAGTCTTGCCTCATCGAAAGACACCTATGCCTTTTAGCTTTCTGTATGTGCACATTTCTTTAAAAAAAATAAGTCTATATTATTTTAAACTCAGAATGCTGTTTATGAAAAGATGGTTATGAATACAATAAACAGAAGAAAGGCCACAAATGTAACTCCATGCGTCTGCCTTTGAATCATCCCTGGTGGGTGAGCCCTTTC